TGAACCACAGCGTATGAAAGCTATTGCTTACCATAAATCCATTCCATATGCGAGCCTTGTTACAAAAGTAAACTGTAGAACGGTATTATAATGAACTGCTGCTTGTTTGTTAGATGAAGCCCACCTGAAGAGGGGTTACTGACCGTACGACAGAGAAAGCATGGGAACGTGGGCAATGAACGAGCACCCATCCGAAACCGAAAGAAAGGCTTAACGAACATGTTAACATGTAATGCTACGGCTATGAATGAAACAGAATAAAGTCAAAATCCATCTCATTTTCTCTAACAAAAAAGTACACATTTTATTAATAAGAATAAAAATTAATGATTTAATAATATTTAACAAAACACCGAAATTTTCTCCAGAGTGGTTTTATAGTTTTAATATAATGCTTATGTAAAAGTTGAGTTGTTGTAACGAGACAGAACACCCCTGGTGGTCGTATTATTCTTCTATTTTTTAAAACATGATCAAGTTTCTAATTTTTAGCTCGTAAAACAAATGAACTAAGGATCCAAAGTTCTCTTTAATAATAACGATCAAATATGTTAGTTTAGATATTTTTGATGGTATGTTACTGTATGCTAATTAACTTGTCATCAACTGATCAAAAAATATGTTCAATATATAGCTACAAATAAGAAATTAGAAAATACATTATTTTTCGGTTAAATGTCAAGAGTCTTTTAAAGCCGTGAATCTCTAAATAATATATAAGAGTAATGATGATATTATGAATCCGGAAAACAAAATGCAAATCAGGAAAGGTAGTCTGATGTAACTTGAAGAGAAATATATTTAGTAAAAGCAGAAGTACCCGTCCCCAGTGACGTAAAAATTAATCTATCAAGTTAAATTAGTTCATGGACTTTAAAATGGTTAATTGTGTTGCACTCTTGGTTTCACTCGGAGCCAAAGCTCTGAACTACTTATCCGCCCACCGCGAAAAGTAAATGGCGATCATTTCAGTCATGCTAAGAGCCGCTCTACAGTAACATACCATAAATGTATATTTTTATTCTTTAAGTTATGTCACATTTGAAATGTGAATGATAGTGTGATTTATTTCTAACAATTTAGTGTAGAATATCCAGCTTGCGAAATAAAATTTGGCATCAACATTATTCATGCCTGTTCTTCCATCATTTCAAAAGTGAATGTTGAGCTTTATCTGTGTGCACAGCTTTTCAAATGCAGTGTGGGAAGCGGCCGCCGTAAACGGGAGACAGACGAACGCTCGGAAAGACACCGCAGTTCCCAATATATATATATAAGATATCAACACATAGAGGGTTGAGTACATCATATCGAAAAGATCTCGAATATGCAAGTGAGCAAGTCACATGATAACTCCAGCTAATGTAAAGTCGCCATGGAACGGAATGTATCAGAACTACATTTTGAGATTGTTTGGCTTTTTGTCGATCCACTGAAAATTGATCACTTTTGGAAAGGGCGTGTAACAGCTTTTCCCGATGCAAAATATTCTTACACTCACTCGGATTATATAAATGAGCTAATGTTGAAGATCTCGAATGTCCAAGTCGGCGGTATCATTTGTAATTAATGGTATTGTACAAAAAAGAAATATTTATCAGATTGGGGCGCTAGAACCATCCAGAAAGACATCTACAACAAGTCGTACCCTAGCCTTGATAAGCAAAGTGTAGCATCTTGTAACAAATAAGAACTCGCGAACATAACTGTCAGTGTAAAAAGCCGTTCATGTGTTCCTTTCAATAGTACGCAGCATAATCAAGATGAATCTCGGGCTGGAAAAGTCACGTGTACGTAAGCTGCTTCCACAACATCTCATTACTCAATTAGCTGAAGAATAAAACACATATCCATCCTGTTCCATCCGAAGATGCAATATGGAAAGCCTGCAAGGATGTGATGTGTTTTGGACGGGAAATTCTCACAACACAGCCTTTCGTAGTCAAGTAGAACATAACTTGACGTGGCGTCATGGATTATAACGACGTGTTGAGGCTACAAAATCGTATTAATATAGCGTATTCAACCTCTGTATTTAAATATTGAAAAAACAGAAGTTATCTAATTTATAAGTGTGTTAAACAATCCTTAAATTTGAAGCTCAAAATATTTAAGTCTGAAGTTGTTGAGGATGTGAAAATAGAAACTAAACAAGACTATGAGATACCTGATAAACACCTGCAACAATAAGATACATGCACATATTTGTTGTTTTTTTCTTCTGAAGTAATTGAAAGAATTTTCTTCAGCCAGCAAGGTATGTATGAAAGTGGTTGAAAGCATTCCTCCAGTCAACACAGAATGTATGAAAGTGGTTGAAAGCATTCCTCCAGTCAACACAGAATGTGTGAAAGTGATTGAAAGCATTCCTCCAGTCAACACAGAATGTGTGAAAGTGGATGAAAGCACTCCTCCAGTCAGTACAGAATGTGTGAAAGTGATTGAAAGCGTTCCTCCAGTCAGCACAATATGTATGAAAGTGATTGAAAGCATTCCTCCAGTCAACACAGAATGTGTGAAAGTGGTTGAAAGCATTCCTCCAGTCAACACAAAATGTGTGAAAGTGATTGAAAGCAATCCTCCAGTCAGCACAATATGTATGAAAGTGATTGAAAGCATTCCTCCAGTCAACACAGAATGTGTGAAAGTGATTGAAAGCATTCCTCCAGTCAGCACAATATGTGTGAAAATGATTGAAAGCGTTCCTCCAGTCAGTACAGTATGTATGAAAGTGATTGAAAGCGTTTCTCCAGTCAGCACAGTATGTATGAAAGTGATTGAAAGCGTTTCTCCAGTCAGCACAGTATGTATGAAAGTGATTGAAAGCATTCCCTCCAATTACCACAATATGTATAAAAGCAGTAAATTACCGAGATTGTTCAACTACTTCAGTCCAGTTATTTTATATTGTTTCTTAGACTTCAACATCACAATCACTTCAGTGACACTCCTTTTAAACATCTCTTGAAAGATGACATATGAGCAGAAAAAAGGATTCATTATAGTTTCTTACACTTCTTACGTTCCATCCTATGTAACTAATATAAAGTATCAGTCAGTAATAATGTGCTTTAAAATTAATGACATAAACTCATTTTAATCTAGCTAGAACTAGTTGACAATTGTTGTACTGATTTATTTTTGCAATTCCTTAACGTCACATAAAGTGTGTAGAGTTCAAGACTACTGATTTTGAAATTATTTTTAACAGCTTCAGTTCATAGTTATAGTCCATCTTTATAAATAAGCCTTTCTTTTTTTCCTTGTGCTCCTAAATGCATATCTAAGCCTATTTCTGGCCACAGTTTGTCGCTAGAGAAATAAATGTGTTTATTTAGAAATGTACAGTGTATGTTGATCTTTATGCCGCATATCAAATCTGCAAAATACTATAAATAACCTTCTTCTTTCAGCTTTTGTACTAACTATACTGAACATTAGTGGGAAAATATGCTTACTTTTTATTTTATTTAAAACGGTTCATAAATCACTTTCGTTACCTATACATTAACTTACTAGACTATCGTTTGTTTTCGTTAAAACGTCTCAAAACCTTCTGTAGACAACTTGAACATTACTGAGATATAAGGCTAAGTTTTGCTTTTTTTCTCTTCGAATTCGGTCACAAACTTTTTAAAATGTCTTATAGCACTGTGATACTAGGTTCACTTTTCATTCTCTTCTTTTTGAAATGACTCACAAATAACCTAAGAAAACTCAAATATTATCTGTGTACTACTAAGATTTATTTTCATTATCTTCTATTCCAAATGATTCAGAGAGAACTTACGAAAAAACATTACTGTAATACTTTTTCAGATTGGTTACTTTCGAATATTCGCGCAAAGCTACTCAAGAGAATATGTGCTAGCCATCTCAAATTTTGAGCTCATGGACTATAGGGAAGGCTGCTAAGCTAGTCTACAACATCCACCGCCAACTCTTGGGGCTACACTTGTGTGACCGAATAATGGGATTTTACCATCATTCTTATAAGGCACCCACAGTTTCAAATGCTAATCACGATTTTTCTTTTCCGTCTCTAGATGCCCACAATGAACCTGTAGATTCATAGCCTGGCTCGCTAACCACTGGGCCAAGCTTTGATTATTGTAGTAAGAGGCTTAGTTTTCTTTTTCCTATTTTGAAATAACTCAGAAACAAATTAAAACAACTCACTCATTACTGTAATATTAGATTTAATTTACATTCTATTCTATTTGAGATGATTCAAGAACAACTTGACATAAAGTATTCGAGTCAAGGATATATGTTTGGTGAAACTGATTCCCAAATAAAGCTTTCCGGTACTACTCTCTGTCCTTTTTTTTTTTAATCGAAATTTGAGCTCCTTGCGATAAATAAAATCTGACTTGCCCACCAGGATGGCCGAATTCGCACTAATTCATGGCTATGAAGGAGTAAAACTCATACCCCAATCCCACACAAAACAAGGCAGTGACCATATATATTTGGAAATACAAGATCTAGTTATTTCGCTTTTTTTCTATAAAACCGTTTTCGCGAGTTTTGTTGATAGCGATGGCCAAGGACAACTCAACCAAACTTTCTGGTGTACGGTGGCTAGGTACAATACGTGCTTGAACATGAACACTTCTACTACTTTATTCAAGAGAAACACCTACATTCTGCATCTTCATGTCTAAATGCTATTGAGAAGTGAGTTCTTTTGGCAGTCAAGTGTGATTTTTTTTATGTTAACAAATCGATCCTTTTATTTGAGTACTTGTTTGATTTTAACTTGAATACTGGAAACTGTCACATCCCTTTACTCAACCCAATCGCACAAATTCGGTCTCATTTCTCGCAAACTGGGTGTTAAAATAACTTAAATATTAATAGTGTACTAGGATTAAATTCCATTCACTTCTATTGGAAATCTGTAATTTTTATTCTTCAGATTTTGGTAGCAATATTTAAACGTTTGTGCTGCATTCTAGAAATTGCTTCATAATATAAAACATTTCATAATTTTGCAGGGAATGCTGATTGATTTGGACAACGATCTTTTCCGGAAATTGCTATCCTTGTACGACACAATTGCTGAATTAAGGGACCGGCAGCAAGAGGTTGAGGAAGAAACCAGCGATGACGACGACATTGATTGTTGCCCAAGTTTAGAATCATTGTCTGATGCAGACAATCAAACAACCACAACGTCGCCATCGTCTACATTATCATCTTCTTCTAGTCATTGTGAACCGAAAATTCATCGTTTTCGACCACTTCAACCCCGTGACAAAAGTATCGTAGAATCATCTCTCCATCAAGCACCCACTAACAATAACGATTATGCTCGTTATTGCCCAAGCCAAAAGATGACGCCACAATATACTAGACGTCGAGCGAAGTCTCACCGTATTCTATATTATCGTGACAACTCATTTTTGTCCTCTGACTCTGGAATTTATGTACAAGAGTCTCATTCAGATTCGGACCATGAAATATTTGTATGAACAAGAATAGGCTTTTCCAAGTTTTTACAAAACTTGTTAAGTTAGCAAATGTAAAAAAGCAACAACAATGAATTCAAGCTTCTAGTCCTAACTAAAGTTACTCAGATGCAGTTGTGCATGGAGTAGTTTTCCGTTTCTAATTTGGGCTCCCCAGTAGTTCAGCAGTAACGCTGCAAGTTTACGAAGCAGGTGTTGGGCAGAACACAAACAGCCCATTTGTAGATTTGCACTTGACAACAATCCAATCCTTATTTTGACTTGTGCATAAGAAATAATACAGCTGTATGAAATAAAGCATTTAAGATACCTTTCTCCTGGTCATGTTAACTATTCAATAATTCCTTAATGAGCACCTACTGTTGTAATTAAATACATGTTATTACTGGGTAATGTTATACATGCATACATAAACTTCTCTACAACTTTAATGTATTGAAGTTTCCTTAAACAATACGCTTGGCATATTGAAAAAACGCGTATAGCTGTTTAGAGTAAATTTTTATATAAAGTTGGTTAACAGAATGAAACAAAAAAATATTGAGAACTTCGGTACGTTTTACACTTCTATATAAGTGGTCATTACAAATTACGAACAATATATTTTTGTTTTATGTTTCCTGAATCAATTCAATATGTAAATAAGTTCACTTCTCTGCTCTGACAAAATTCCATAAAGGTGACATCGTAAAACATGACTTTCGAGACTACTCAATTAAGCTTTTATAACTGAAAAAATATAAAAACCTAGGAAACATCTGTCGTGGTGGTTTATGTCCATATAAAAGTTTCCTGAGTCATAATTTTGTTTCCGTTCTAGAATATTTCCTGAGAATTTTGTAGTTGACAATTAATATGTTATGTTTGATTTGCTAATTAATATTTGAACAAAGTCTTTCATCTCTCAGGGGGCTAAGCCAAACAAATATATCCAGATAAAAATACACGTACCATGATTTTCACGTCTAATGATCTTTTCAAACAACTTCGTTTGTAGCAAATAACTTGTCTGGTATAGTGAACGCAGTTTGAATATTATTCGTAATAATAATCGCGTGTATTTGTTCTATCGTCTCCGGCCAAAAGTTTTGGAGCAAATAAACTGTTGAATTAGAACCATGTCTTAAAAGGTCTTTAAGAATTAAAATAATAATTTAATTATATTAAAATGTATATATATATGACGATAAATAATCAACTGTTATAATGTAGTTGTAAGTAATAAAATATGTTCGACGGCATGAACGGTAGCCATCTGGGAGGTCACCTTCCCAATAGCACATGGTATCAAACAATGTTGCGTATTGGTTCTCACGTTGTTCACTCTATTTCTAGCTGCTAGTTTTTGGTTCGCGCATCTGCTAATCTTGCCGAGGGAATTTATATCCACACAAGAATCTACGGTGGTCCTTTCAATCTCGCAAGACAGAAAGCTCGCAATAAGACGCTAATGGCATTCATCATGTAAAATCATTTTCCAACAATAATTCACAACATTGCATATCAACATCCAAGGTGCGCTTGCTTCCAAGAGGCATGAGATCAAAGAAATTATTAATAATACAAAAGCAGACATTATATGTATAACAGAAACAATGTTATATAAAAACGATAGAGTACTATTTAAAGGATATCCTACTATCAGAAAAGATCATATTGATAACCATGATCCGAACAGAGGAATATCTCTCTACTCTCTCTGTACAGGAAATATACGTAAAGTATAATTTTAAATGTCTACATAACCCAAAATATTTTTCTAATTATTGCTGGATGTAAACATGTTGATAAATACAAATTTGATGACGAGGAATCCACTTTGAGACTAATAATGGTTGGAGACGGCTTGAATGGGGGATGAAGAAAATATTTGATATAAGTTTAACATAACAGCAAATGTAAACGTTTCGACAAGGTTTTGTCATCATCAGATAACC